GGGCTCAGGGAGACAGCTTAGAGCCAGAATAAGCTCATTAGGTCACGAGAAAGCAGGGATGATGGGAAGACACTTCTTATTCTTGCCCTCTGATCCCACTGCCTCTGGGAGAGTGTGGCATCCTCACCCCGGCAATGCTTCCTCAGGGGAGTAAGTTTGAAGCAGTCTGGGAAACTGGGCAGCTGAACCCCTCTTGACCCCTAAAGTCACAGTGGGGGCTGAGAAGAAGAAAGACCGTGTACTGTGGGCTCCGCAAGGGTCCAGGGATGTGTGCTGGGCTCAGATTTTCCCTCCACTCCAACTTTGCAACAACCTGGGCTCCCGCGCCTGCTGTTTAGGGCTAGCTGGCCTGAGGCGAAGAGGGGAAAGAGGGCGGCTGGGCAGGGGAGGATGCAAGCCTGCCAGGAGAGCCCGCAGTGTCCTCAGCATGGGCAGCAGGGAGTGAATGAAGGGAAGGAAAACTGCAGTGCTCAAGAACCTCCCTTTCCTGGACTGGCTGCTCCATTGGATGGAGCTTGCAGGATGGTGGCACACAGGTGAGGAGGCACCATTCCTGTGGGCCACAGTGTGATAGCAACAGGCCTCTACGGACTGCAGACACACAGAGCAGTTTTGCCCTTGGTTACCCATAGATTATCTTAGAGCTTCCTGTTATTCTAAACATTGAAAGTGGGAACCCTGGAGCTTGAGGAAAGTGGAGACCTGGCATCAGGAATTCCAGGAATCCAAGAGGCTGTCACCTGCCGTGAGGTCAGGTCCTCATGGTAAGGGCCTGGCCAACAGATCTTCCTTCTACCTGTCAAGGAATTGTCCCTGGCCCTGTAGGAACCCACGGCTGAAGTGCAGAGTCCTTGATCCATTCCTGGATTAGTAATCACAAGAGTCAATTCCAATTAGAATAGAGAGCCTAAATTATCTGATTTGACACAAATGAGTTAATCCTCTTGAATGAAGACCTAGCTTGGCCTCTTAGACCTGCTGTCCTGGCAATTCCAGTTTATCCAGTAAGTTTGACTTCTTTTCCAAGCAGACCCTAGAGGCACATTCGCCTTTGGTCCTCCACCTTTTCAGGGCCCCCAGCCTTCTTCCGGGCTCCCCTTCTCCCTAGTGCAACAGCGTTAGAATCAGTCCAGTCAACTCTTTCCTTCCTTCCAAGTGAAATCCAAGAACTCACCTTTTCCTGAATTCTTTAAGCCACCCATATTGACCCAAGGGATGAAGCGGCAGAAACAGTGTCGTGTGTAACAGACAGAGGGTCCACACTCCTACCCCTCAGTGATCCCTCAAGCATGTCTGCTGGTCTTAGTAGGGAGTGAGGTTGCCTACTGGATCCCAAGTCAGGAGAGGAGAGGGAGGCTCAGTAGATCAAATGTAACTGCGGACTCAGCCAGCCTCATGAGAAATTACGCCACACACCCTGGTTCAGCGGGGCCCCAAGCCTGGGACATCTCCGCGGGTCTCTCCAAAGGACAAGTTGGGGGAGTTGCAGGATTTGGACACTGGCCTGAGCAGAAGGAAAAATTCATCTCTGTGGCAACTCTCGCCCCCACAGTCAGCAAGACCTGGAATGAGACAGTCTGGGACTGTGGGGTGGAACAGCTGGGTGGAATGGCCAGTTGTTCCACCTATTGGCGTTGACCAGCCTTCCCCACTGAGGCTGAACTTGGCAGCTCCGGCCCATAGAATTCCAACCTAGGCAGCTGCTTGAGAAACAAAGTGCTTGAGTTTGCTTTGAGCAGGGATGTTTAAAACTAGGATAACGATAACAGGATATGAGCTATAAGCTGCTTATTCACAGCCAGTTTAGGAAAAAGACCATACCAGGACCCAACAGGCAAGAAGAGAACAGCAATTTGAGCCAGTCTTCTTGGGCCTGCAACTGGGCATATTCCATTTAAAACTTGTCCTTTCCTCTTCTGGCCCTTGGGTGCTTACAACCTGAAAGGTCTTCTCCCATTCTAAAGCCTCTGCATACCTACAACCTAATGATTCAGCTCCCACCCTCTGGTCCCTTTTGCTTTTCTTCCAGTACCCTAACATGTTTATTGCTCTTCTCTAAAAGTCATCCAAAGGATTCATTTACATCTCCAGGGGGCTGAAACACCAGGACAGCATTCAGTAACCTGGGAGTGGTTAGAGTTGCTAAGCGAGGTGCAGAGACAAGTCACGTTAGTCTGAGTGATGATTTTCTAGCGGTGAAGGTGATCCAAGCACAGCTGACCCTGTGTTTTCCTTTGCCAAAGGCTCCATCCTCACCCTGCCTCCTCACAGACCATATTCAGTTCCTTGCTACTGCTGCATGTTGTCATCAGAGTCCCCACTGGAGTCGTGCTGGGTGAGGGTGGGGAGGTCAAGGTAAGCACTTCCCCAATCAAGAACCACATCTTAGTGAAGGAAGCAGCAAGACGTGCAGAAAGCATAGCCTCAAAAGTCAAGCCCAGCCTCTCACTGGCCTTGCCTCTTAACCTCTAAAATGAGGGAGCTGAACTGGGTGATGCAGCTAACCACTCCCTCTCCTTCAGGATAAGCTCAGAAATGCTTATTTCGGCCTGGACTCTTCTCTGCCCTCCCCATATCCCCACCCTTGCTCTGGCTTCTCTTCTGGCAGATGTGTCTTATTTGAAAAGCTTTTTTCCCTAAGTATAATTCCATCGCCTCTTTTCCACCAGCAATTCAAAACCTTCCTCTCTCACTCCACTGCCTTTCCAAGTGCCACGCATGTGCTCCTGGGATCCAGGTTCCATCTAGATCTGTCCCGAGGGTTTAGTGGGCCAGGATTGCACTCTGACCCTCCTTCCCCTTGGACTAGTCAGACTTCTCTTGTTTTTGTTTTATGGTTTGGCTTCTTCTTGAATCAGATGTTACCGAATGCATACGTGTGCATGCACACCCACACACCAATCCTGCATGGAAAACTCTGGTCAAAACTTTTCTTTGGCAGAGACGCAGAGCATTTCCATGGCTTGCCACTTTCCTGATTCTCTTAGGGCTGGCCCAATGCCAGATAGGAAACTTTTAGCTCTGAAGGCTGGAGAGAAGTTTGCTGTCCCAGCTCCCAAGGCCTGTCATCTTCAGCACTACCATATTAAGACTATAGTTTAATAAAATCTGCCACTACTCACCCCAACCCCTGCAGACTTGCAGAAAGTGGAGAGCTGGTACCAAATTCCAGGAATCAATGAGGTTGTCAGGAGGTCAGGCACTCATGGTAAGGGTGGTCATAAGCAAGGAGCTGAGAGGTCTCTGTCAGCCAGGCCTCGCTTTGTTTTAAGCTCCCAGATTTCAGGTGGAGCCTCTAGACAGTTGGCTTCCCAAGTTGGAGGTGGTGTCCAAGGCCCCAAACTCTGCTTTAGTCAGGTCCACTATAATGGGAATAATTTACTCTTTTTTGTGCGTTTTCAGGTTAAGACTTACTGAGGTACAGTACATTCTTTCTCGGAAGGAGAGGTTACTTTCTCAGCAGACTCCATCCAAAATAGTCTTCTACGTGGTGTGCACACTGGTATCAACAAGCAATGAAAGCAAAAAAGAGAGAATGTACTAATGATAGCAAACATTTCAGTGCTTTCTAAACAGACATTGTTCCAAGCTATGTATAGCTTATATATTATTAAATAATTAATCATTGTATATTATTCTATCATAGTTTGTATATTATATAACATATAGATAGCATATATATACATATCTGCTCATTTGATCTCTTGACAATGTGCTGAACCCATTTCACAGAGGTAAAGCTTGAGGCTCTGAGCAGCTGTACACTTGCCAAAGATCTTGGCTCGCTGGTTCTGGTGGGCACTACAGAGACGTTTTAAAAATGAGAGCTTATCAGAGTGAGAGCTAGAAAGCCTTCTGATCCCTAGGAGGGACACACAGAGGAGCTGGAACAGAAGGAATTGGATTTAAGTAGAGACTCCATAAGCCCAAAGGAGTCATTTCCCAACTTCAGTACTTTGAAACACTAGATATCCTATTTTCTTACAACATAACTGTCTTGCAGATAAGCACCGCTAGATCCTCTGCACATTCGAGTAAATCCTGTTGTGAACTGAACAGAGTAACTGCTCTTGCTTATCCGGGCCATGTTAGTGCAGGGCACAGGGAAGTTTAAGTTTTGCCTCTAAGCCTCCATTCTGAGAAGCATCTTACCACCATTGTTCTAACAATGAAATGCAGTTAGGATTCAGACAGGTTTTCGATCCACGTACACTATTACATGTGAGAAGCATCATTAAGAAATTCAAAATTACTTTTAACTATTTGAATTCATGTAATTTCATTCCAGTATGAGTGCTCAAGGACAAATGAGCACTCAGATCCGAATATCCCACCTGAGAACCACACAGTTTGTTCAAAACCACTATCCTGCTGCTGCAAGGCTGGGACTCACTGAGCCTTACTTCACCTTAATGTTTCAATCGTGGCATGCTGTCTTGCTTAGGTCATGGGGGAAGGACAGTCTTCCTTTGGAAGCATGTTTTCCTGACAAGCCTTGGTTGACAAGAAGTTTTCAGTTAACTGTAGCAGGCAGCTTTACAGACAGGAGATATGAGCTTCGTTTTTTTTTTTTTTTTTTTGAAAAAGTTTGCAGTGCATGCCTGGGGCAAGGCAGGAAATGCAATTTGGTATTTGGAAACATCAGAAAATATTTCTCTGGAAACCGTTTGTAATGTCACTTCACTGCATTGTTCCCTCTGTTCCAACTAATAAAATTATCAATTCCAGGGTCTCGCTATCTTACGTCCCTTTAAACACAGTAAAGGAGACCAAATAAATACCTCCTCCTACCCTGCATTTTGTTGTCCAGATGTGATCTTTGTCCCAATACCTAAAAGTGACAATGACCATTGTCATGGATGTGGAACACTGCAGTTTTCCTTCTAGTTTTCAGCATAGCTTTCAATCAAGTTTCCAACTAGGTAAGAATTAAAACAGAAAAGAAATAAAGGAGAGGTGTCTAAGCAACCAAGTCTTCCCTGGAAGAGAAGAGGAAGACATGAGAAGTGAATAATAGGTTTATTTGCATATACACAAGAGAAGAGTTAACTGTTGCTGGGTGAGAAGGAGGTAAGGCTTCAGCAGAGGAAGGCACCTTGACAGACAAACAAGAGACTCTCAGCTTATTAAATCAAGCATAGTCACAAACTTCACTTGCCCCAAGCCAACAACTTATTTAACTCATTTACCTGCTGTCCTAGAGAATCACTAACACAACCAGCTGGAAAACAGAGAGAAATGATTTTACATATCTGGACCTGCCACTTAAAACTTTATGTACAGGATGCAGGAAAAAAACTTAAGAGGCACTTCCAAATAGTTCTTGATCTAATCAGTGCCATCTGTTCTGCTATTAAAAATATCTATTATGGAAGAAATTGGGTATTAAATGCGCCGTCAAAGTTGGGGCCTCAATTCTAAAAGAGTTTAGGCAAAGGTACTCTAAAAGTGGTTCCTGCCAGGTATCCAGACCCACAACCACAGACACAAAAATCTCTGGAGATGAGGGCGGAGCAGCTATAAAGCAAGCATTTCTCACCCTGCTCATGTGTGTGTTTTATGGGGCCTACCACCCGGTGAGCTGAGCCTAGGATGCTGGGAAGCCTTTGCCAAGGATGGAAGGCATACTTACTAAAAATGATCTTTCTTGGCTTCTCAAGTTAACCAGAATAAACTCTGACTTCTCTTTTGAGTACCCAAATGAGATTAAGGCTTTTAACATGAAAAGACCAAATTCTGCATTTGGGAATTGTAACTACCAAGCAGCTAGTTCCTAAGGGAACTTTAACTACTTCTCTTCAGGAAGATTTGTGGATTGTCCTTTGAGAAGTCAGAAGAGGCTATGTGCTGATGAAAATAAAATAGAATAGAATAAAATGAAGGACTGGGTGTGCTGACTAAGAAGGGGAAGAGAAACACACACTGAGTGATCATATATTTTTTTTTGTATATAAAGGATTAAAAAATTCAAATTTAATACATTTTGGAAAAGCAAATGTAAAATGACTTGGGCTTATAAAACCAGCATTTACAATTATCTGTGAATAGTCAAAGACAAATCATAGAACCAATTTGATTACAAATCCAAAGCAATTCTAATGTTGGTTACAGAATCACTTTCCCACTCCCCCAGTAAAAGTCCAGGTGTTAAGTTGTATACACCCCCATGCTACGCACACTCCTTCATCTCCTTCTCAGTGTTTTCATACCCCAGCCACATCACACACACCAGGCACATCTTCTCTTTCACAGAGCTTATCAGGATGGTATCTCCTTTTGGCTTAAATCAACCACCTTGTGTTTATAAATAACCCCCCCACCCCCAGTGCCTGAATTCATCCACGTCTTCTGCCTTCATAGGCAGCCTCCCCTTGGCCCCAGTTCCAGCAGGACAGGCCTTCCTCTAAAAGGAAGACTGGGGCAGTGAGGCCACACTAGTCAGCGTTCGGCCCTCCCTGCACCGGTCCCAGCTGGGCTCCTAATTGTCTAGCACCTTTGCACTCAAGGAAGTTATATTGTTTTTCTCTCTCTTCCTCATTTCTTGCCAGTATTCTGCCTTTTCATAACATTTATGCCAACAAGATATCTAGTCATTCCTAGACCTTCCTGTTTTGCACAACCCTTCACAGATAACCGAGTGACTGCAACGATGAAAATCTGTTGCTCTTTTCTCTTCTAAACCTGTATCTACCTCAATAAAACTGAGTCTTTTATGGGAACCAGAAGACTTAAGACTCATGGGAACCAGCAGTCATAAGCCGGAGACTCCTCTCCCTCACCCTCTGACTCTTAATAGACCTACTCAATAAGAATCTGTTACCTTGAGACGCCTACTGCTCTGCAAAGTCTAGTGAGAACACCACAGCCTCTATCAACTGCAAGTCTGAGGGAAGATGCCAGTCCCATCACTTCTGATCAATAGTCCTGGGTTGAGTTAAATGAATATAGTACCACATTCTGCTCCTCACTAAGCTTCTTCATTAACACACCTATAACAACTACTTTAGTAGTCTGAGCACAAAGCTCTGGAAAGCTGTCTTTGCCCTTCTTTCACTATGCCTCGATCCATCACGGGAGCCAAGGAAGCACCTGCTGGCCTTGTGAGTGCCTCTTAGGATCTAGCACCTAACTGGTTAAAGTCTGTTATCCATGACTAGCTCTATTTTATGGCCTTCATACAGTACATGTTGCAGCACTGCTCAATTTGCAAACAGTGAAATTTATCAGGAATCTATATTCTCTTGAATCTGAAGTGCTAAACCTCTCATTAGCATTAAAATTTCTCCTTTTTTATAGTATGTCCACATTAAATGCTCAATAAAGAAGTGTTACTTAGAGAAAACATGGAAGATTTCTTTAAGAAAGGAACCATGCTTTCCTCTCCAGTGCAGCCAATGGGCTGAAGGCCTGTTTCCATTCTCCATTCTTCCAGCATAAATCTACAACTCACTGGCAGCACAACCTGATTTAACAGGCACCCATCATCCAGACCAGAACACCTATGGCATGTAAACAGGGTGAGATGGCAAAAAGTACAAATTCACAAAGTCCTTTCTGATGGAGAACTGAAAGAAAGGTCTTATGAGACAATGAGCGCACACGTGCCAGTGTGCGTACACAAGAACAAGTTGAACGTCTCAACAAAGAATTACTTCCACAGAGCCTTGCACGGCACACTACGCTCACGCCTCACTAGAAAGGAATCACTTGGGGTGTTTTTTTTTCCCTTTCTTAACACAGCACAAGCCAACGGCCAGCTAGACATTCAGACCCGTTGTTGAATGTTGGATAGAAGGGAGCAGCATCAGACACAAAATTTCAGGCCCTGGTTTCATGTGCCTTTAATACTTTGTTTCCTTTCCTCTGTATTCACTAAACAGATTTTTTTTTTTTTTTTTTTTTTTTTTTTTGGTAAGGCTACTTTTGTAGCTTTTTGTTTTCCCTTTGTATTTATCATGTTTTTAATTTCTTCTCTGAGGAGGAATTCTCTGAATCTGTATCTTCCAATTCAATTCGGTGCCTTTTGAGGCCACTGTGGCCATGAACAGCCCTGCTGCTATCTATGGCTGGGGTGTCAGTGGGGTCCTCTCTTGTTCCAGCATTGGGGGTCTCACAGGCCATTTCAGACCCGCAACAATCTTTGTGTAGGAGTGTCCCTGTCAGGGACAAGTTATCACGGTCAGTGTCTGAGTGTCCTGGGGAAGAGTAGGCCACCGCCTCCAGCTCCCCCAAGTTCTGCCCGTTATTGTGAGGGTGAATGGGACGAGGGTGTAAGCGTCCATTGTTATGGTTGGCACAGATGGTTTCGAGGCTCCTCTCCTCACTGTCATCAGACTGGGTCCTGGGACAGTTGCCAGACCCGATGTTGAGAGTGGAGCCAGATGCCTTGGGGACAGAAGGAGAAGGCGGCTCCTCAGCCCGACTACTCAGGGCCTTTCCATTGAGCTTCTTGGTTTCAAAAGGGTGCTCTACAGAGCCGCTATTGCCAGTGTCCTGAGAGGTACCTTCTGGCACCTCTGCCCAAGCATGGCTGCTGTGCTCATGGCCTGGGCCATTGCTGGGATTTCTAGGAGTCTCTTCTTTAAAAGTGTCCTTGCTGCAGCCTTCAGGGGGCAGGTCCTGTTTCCTCTGGGCCACTGCTATGTTTAGACAGGCTTCCTTACTGGAAGAAGGGGCTGGGTTGTCTTTGTGGCTGGTTCCTGCTCTCCCTTCATCTGCCTCCCCGGTCACCAAGGAGGTCTCTCCATCTTTGTTATTTGAGTAGGAGATATAAGAGTAGCGGAGCCACTTGTAAGCTTTATAAATTTTTCGCTCAACTGATTCTATGTCAGAAGTCGGTGAGGCCCGGCTTGGCTGAATCTCTAGTGTGGAAGTGCTCCGCTCAGGAGATGAGGTGGGGGAGGAGGAGAGGTCATCCACTTTGATCTGGGGGTAATCATAGTTGTCTTCTCCAATGTAAGTGTTGGTGGGCTTGACTGGGGCACTGGGCCTGTCTTCTCGGGTTGTCTTCTGTCGACGCCGCATGGCATTCCGCTGCCAGGTAGAGGCTCGGCGTTCATTCAGCTCCTCCTCATCCTCGGAGCTGCTAGAGCTGCTGGAACTGCTGGATTCATCTTCGGGGCTGGGTGACCGTGGCCGGGGAAAGAGATCTGTGTCTAGTTCCACCTCACAGACATTCTCCTCAGAATCGGACTCATTGGAAAGGGCCAGGAGGCGTTTGTCTTGGTAGCGCCGCAGAGCAGACAGACGCTGCTGGCGAGAGGCTGCGTCCTCACACGTGGGTGTTGGTGGAGTTGAGGCTACTGCGTTTGTGGTGGTGACCCGCAGGGGCCCCAGGTGGAAGGCGTTGTCGGCAGACTCATCTACTGTGGGAGGCGGGGAGCGAGGCAGTGAGGCCGAAGACTCTGAGTCAGTGTAGCCTGAGCGCTCGCTGACCCCTGCGTGCAGTTGCAGGATAGTACTCTCACTGAGGTCACTGTCTGAGTCAGAGCTCCAGCCCTCGATCTCTCGGCGTACCAGGGAGTCAAAGAAGGCCATCATCCGCGGGTCTTCCTGGACCGACTGGTTGGCGTAGTCATGTGACAGGCCACTCCCACTGTTCAGCACAAGGCTGATGTACTCTTCATGGGTATAGAGGCAGCGGGAATCGTCCTCAATCCGACCATCGAGGTCTCCAGTACATCCTGGCTGCTTGTATGGGCTCCAGATCTGTACAGAAAATGAAAAACAAAAGCAACAAGGAGTAACTGGAAAGTATTCTTTCACTGGTGGTAATAAAGAACACCAAGGCAGAACTTCCCCAGACCCTCCCTGTAATTTAGTTAGGACTTGCTAACCAACTTAAAAATATGTTCTTTACTAGACTGGATCATGTGGGCTGTGTATGAAAACTGAGGCTTTTAGAATCAGATGTGGGGAAAAGCATGGTCTAGAACACAGTATTAGTCTAGTGTCAAGAGACCTACCTAAGTCCTGTCTCTAGGCCCAGGGTAATCACATACTTTCTCCACCAGAATCTTCCTCCCTTTTAGTTTCATCTATTAGTAGTTGGACATTATAATAACAATCCTGGAGGATAGAGGATGACTTGAAGACTGGCCAAGGTGTTAAAGACTTTCAGAAGACCGAAGCTGTGCACAGAGAGGTACCACTTTTCCGAAATGTAAACGGACCCAGCACTCAGCCCTCTATGGTAGTTAATATCTGAGCCTATGGCTCCACTTCTGCCCAACTGCAACATTCCTATTTTTAACTGATGGGAATTGCTCACTGGAGCTTGATAAGAATAGCCAACTGCCTACACTGCAGTTCCCTCTTGGATATACAGGCACCAGTTACCCAGGAAACTGGGTTCTCTTAACCAGGGAGCTGCTGGCTTGCTCCCCAACAAGTCTGTTAGCTATAGGAGTAGGTAGGACACATGCCCCAAGGACAGGTAACTGCAGCCCCACTCATAATACCCCTCTACTCCATGGTCAGGGACATGGACTCATCGATAAAAGGCAGCAGAGCTAGGACTCAAACTCAGGTCTGCCTGACTTAAAGGCTCAACTTTACTGTTATGCAAAATTCAAGTGCAAGGTAATTAAGCTGTCACTGCAAATGAGAACGATTAGCTCCACCTGACTGCCAGACTGGTTCACAGCAGCACAAAGCAGCCCAGTTACATCAGCCTGTAGTCATGGCAACTCAGATGAAATCCCAGGCAATCTTCTTGCCTGACAGGCTGGTGTCTATCTTTAGATGGCATCCAACCCAGAAAACAGTGGCCCCTCATTCCCCATCCTTCATCTAGACCAAGACTTCGTTTCCCCAAATGCTATCTAAGGACAAATGCACCTCCCTGTGGGAATTCTCCTGAGTCCCATTCCTGCCATGCTTTACTTGGCAATTCCTGAGAGGTAGTGTCTCTGCAGAGGACCCCCCAGTTCCAAAGAGGCTGAAGAAACCTTCTAGATTAGCATCTCTCCACCAGTTCCCAACTCAGATTCATTCCTCCTTCAACTTTTTTCCCTACCCATAACTCTAGATGTTGCTCAGATGTTCTCTCCTCTCCAGCTTCATAATCTCACCCTAGAGAATTTTAAGGGATTGGTTTTCACTTTGGAGTACACAAGAATCACCAGGAGAGCAATTATAATGTTGAATCCTGAGTCCTACTCTTAGAGGTTCTGATTCAGTAAGTCACGAACAGGTATCAGGACCATGCATTTTTAACCACTCAAGGGATGAATAAGTAGGAAGACCAACTTTTGCGAAACACTAGACTACAGTTACCATAAAATAAGTAGAATAAAATAAAGGGTTTATCTGAAGGTTTACACACGGTCTCCAGCATGTGGCTTAAGCTATTATTACTATCTCTGCAAACAGATGTCTAAGGGAATAAAAGAGATTGGTGGCTTAGAAAGGAAGCTGAGGGGTCCAAAAGGGAAAGCTCTTAGGATTTTTTTTTTTTTTTTGCATCTTATTCATAATTCTGAGCCAAATCTCTCACCTCTCCAGTTTAAAAGTGGTAAAATGTCATTAACCATGTTCTCTAATATAAAGATAAATCTATTTGTACCTCACAGAAACTCAGAATTTGTTAACAAAAGTACAAAATAACAACAGTGAGATGCTGGCTTAACTCCTCACCAAGCCCATTTTTAAGTTCCAATGTATTATTACCCCAGCTCCACATTTTTCCCTTCAGGAATGAAAGTCTTAACACTGAAAGTTAGTTTGTGTTTGGGCTCTGGAATGTATTAAGCTGAGGTAGACTGTTCATTCCTGAAGCCTGGAGTAATGGAGTGAAATGCAGGATTAAGAGGCAGGAGTCTTGAGTGTGGATTCCCACTCACTCCTAGTTAGTGGGTGATGCTCAGCTCCTCCCTCTAAACAGTAGATTAGATGGGTCTCATGCAATCCTAAGATTCAGAGCAAAAAAAACCTTCACTCCAGACTGCCAGTCTTCAATCCTCAAGGGACTCACAGTGCTTCAGGAGTAAGGGGAGCAGGTAGGAACCCCAGCCCTGTCATTTCCTGTGGCCCTGAGGAAATGACCTCACACTTGAAAGCCTGTTTCTCATATGTGTAAATGAGAATGATACCAAAGCCTATACCCAACACTAATAAATGTGATGTCTTCTCTTTCATTTGGCAATTGAACGCCTCAACCAGAATGTTAAAACCCACCCTCAGGGAGGCTTCTGAACATTATAAGTACTGACCGTCCCTATTATCTTGGTTCTAATGCTTAATATTAATATATCAATTCCAACCATTTGTGAAATTGGTAATTTCTTTACACTGGAAAGTTAACAACTCAGAAGGGAATCAATGAAAAAACCAACTTCCCGTTACATGTTAAATGTGGCAGTCAGGCGCGGTGGCTCAAACTTGTAATCCCAGCACTTTGGGAGGCTGAGGTGGGTGGATCACTTGAGGTCAGGAGTTCAAGATCAGCCTGACCAACATGGTAAAACCCTGTCTCTACCAAAAACACAAAAATTAGCTGGGCGTGAGACCAGTTGCTTAGTTCCAGCTACTCGGTGAGGCTGAGCAGAGAATTGCCTGAATCCCGGGGAGGAGGATGGTTGCATTGAGCTGAGATCGTGCAGTCGTACTCAGCCGGCGAACAAGACAAATCCGTCTTAAAAAAACAAAAAAAAAAATATATATATATATACGTACGTATTAATGCGCTACGACACTGTCCATCAGGTGAAAGTCATGAGAACGAGCCAGGCGTTGCCTGCCCGTGGCTCACGCCTGAATGCCAGCACTGTGTGGCAGCCGAGGCACCGATCACAAGGGTCAGGAGATTGAGACCTCCTGCAACCAGTGACACCGCATACTCACTAAAATTACACAATTGAGCCAGCAGTCGGTGGGCGCCTTGTTCCCGCTACTCTAAGGCTGAGCAGAGAATGACGAACCTGGCGCGACTCAGCACCAAAATCGCGTCACTGCATCTCACAGCCGGGCGACAGGAGAGACTGGCCGTCTCAAAAAAGAGAAAAGAGCGGCTGGTGGCTCACACCTGTAATCCCAGCACTTTGGGAAGCCAAGGCAGGAGGATCGCTTGAGCCCAGAAATTTGAGACCAACCTGCGCAACATAGCAAAACCCCATCTCTACACAAGAATACAAAAATTAGCCAGGAGTGGTGGTGTGCACCTGAAGTCCCAGCTACTCAGGAGCCTGAGGTGGGAGGATCACCTAAGCCTGGGGAGGTTGAGGCTGCAGTGAACTATGACCGTGCCACTGTACTCCAGCCTGCTGGGCAACACAGTAAGATCCTGTCTCAATAAAAAAAAAAAAAAAAAAAAAGAAAGAAAGAAAAGAAAAGAAAAGAAGGAAAAGAAAGAAAGAAAGAAGTGAAGAGGCAAGAGGAGAGATGAGGCAAATATTTTCCTCTCCATGCACAGTGAAGTTTAGCTTAAGGGGCTGCTGAGAAAAAGGATGCAGTTCAATTCTTATTCAAACTTCATAAACATGGAAAACAATTAAGTGACAAGCGTTTGAGTTACACAAGTGATCACGACACACTTTTATTTCTGGGAAAGGGTCTCGTTCTGTCACCCACGCTGGAATGCAGTGCATGAACACGGCTCACTGCAGCTTCAATCCTGGGCCCAAGTGATCCTCCCACCTCAGCCTCCCGAGTAACTGGGACCATAGCAGACACTACCACACCTGGCTAAGTTTTAAATTTTTCGTAGAGATGGGGTTTCCCTGTGTCGTTCCTGACAATGGGACTCTTCTCCTAGCCAGGAAGGTGGCAGTAAAGGACAAGGACAGAGAGAAGGGTGAGTAGAGAGAGAAAAGCAGGTCTCAGGCTGGACCAGAACGTGTTGGCTAATGCTCTGTGAGTCACTGATCCTCTCAGAAATAGCAGGCACGAAAGTGACATTTATTAAAATAGGAGTTAGGCACAGGTAATTTACAAGGCATTCCTGGGTGGCAAGTCACTGTCAGCACCCTCATTTTCCAGATGGGAGACAGAACCAAGGGTCAAGACTCAGTGGCCTTTCAGGATAATGTAAGTGCAGGGTGAGGCAGTAATTCCAACTGAGATGAGGCCGGCATGGCTGTTGGTCTCATCCTTCTCCTTACCACCTCCCTTCCTGCAGTGCTTAGTGCTATGTCATTCCCAGCCAGACTGTGAATGGGGATGACACCTATGAGACAGCAAAGCTGAGGACTCCAGAGCTTTCTGCTTTCCTTCTCACTATGATCATCTGTACATACTTAACGTTTCAAAGGGCTAAATGTGCCTCCTGGTGGAACAGGGTTCAGATCCCATGCAAACCAGGGAGCGGTGAGCTCCATAGTTCAGTCTGGATAACCTCACAGAGAAAACACTTTTTTCTTTTTCCTCTGAGAACCTGGCTAGTTTGCGACATACGACATTTAGGGTAAGGACTTCAGTTGACTAAACAATAAATAGGGAGACTTATCATAGAAGCATCCCAGAGTGCACACTCAAACAGGAATTCCTCTTGTAAAGGAGATGGCCAAGCAGAAAGCTCTCTGAGAAAGAGAATGACATCAACAGGCCCAGAGAGGACACATTACAACCTATCAGTCATCAGCCAAAGGAAAGGGGAAAGCAATGCAAGGAACTGGGCCATTTCAATGACTGCCCTGTTGAAAAGATCGAATCCAGCAGGGGAATTGGGCTGCTTGCTGCCTTCCCACCAGCATGGCAAATGTGGTGGTATA